TTAAAGCCTCCAAATTGTAAGAATAAACTCCTATTTGTTAATATCCCATTTGTGATATATTTCTTGTCAGAGAGACTCTCGGTAATCTGAGAGTGTATATGCACATTTCACAGTACTATTCTGGACCCCACAGGTATCTGTTGATATGGTTAACCTTAAAAAAAAATTGTCACTTATGATTCTGGCAATTTCCCATCTTCTCCCCCAACCTCCATTGTTTATGTAATAACTACATAATGAGGTAAATTCTAAAACATAATCTCTTGAGGATCTATATTTCTTCTCCCAGTTGATTAAATGATTTTTTCCAATATCTATATACAATTTTCGTATGTATTTTTCTCCTGCATAGGCAGCAAATGTTAGGATTTATAAATTGAATAAAAATAGGTGCAAGTAAAAGGCTTAAAATTTTATTCAAAGTCAAATATAGGCAATTGTAATGTGACAATAAAAACAAAAACCAATCCCACTGCTATCAAGTCAATTCCAACTCATAATGACCCTATAGCACAGTAAAATCACTTTAAAGCCTGTCTTTACATAGGAAGACTGCCTCATCTTCCCATGGAGTGGCTGGTGGGTTTAACCACTGACCTTTTGGTTAGCAGCCAAATGCTTTAACCACTGCACCACCAGAGTGCCTCAATACAACAATAGGAGGAAGAAGGAACATCATTCCAGAGACAATATCTTACTCAAAATCTTTACCTTTCTCTCCCAGACTTAAGGTAGTAATTTTCCTTTAAAAACAAACAAAAATATGTTTTGCTAAATACCAAAACTAAGTGTGTCCATCTGAAGCAATAAAACAAGGAGACAGTGAGGGTAGGGGATGCTGTCTGCAGGCTGTCACAGAGATTGAAAGGTATTTCCTGCTGGGCAACTACAGCTTGAAGTCTGTCTAAGCCTAAGGTTAACTACATATGCAAATAAGTGCTGGAAAAATGGTCTGGGGATTCACCTCCTCTAGTACTCTGAGAAGTCATTACAGGTTATGAAACCTTATTGTTCTTAACATTACATTTATGAGAAGCAGTGAAAAGCAGTTCAGGTAACAAGCTGTAATTGAACAGGCTAGGGAGTGGTGGCTGGAGAAAGCAAAGCAACATGTACATTTCAGGGTTTGGAAAGTTGAAAGCTTCAGAGCTGCTATTGCAGTTGTGTTGTTGTTGTTATTATGTACTGTCGAGTTGGACCCAACTCATAGCGACCCCTCCTTGGGTTTTGGAGGCGGTATCACTACGGAAATATATTGCCCAACCTTCCTTCCGAGGAGTGGCTAGTGTGTTTGAACCGCCAGCCTTCTGGTTAGCAGTCAATTGCCTTAGGTACTAAGCTACCAGAGCTCCGTAGAGTTAGGAAAAAACCCTTTTGCCAATACGTAGTAAAATAAGCATTGGCTCTAAAAAATGTTCATAATTTATTGGCTTTCTTGGATGTAGAAACGTTAAAACATTACATTTATATTGGTGGTGTCTTTATCTTCCATGGTTAAGGCATTTCTACTAGAAGAGTGAGGAATGCTGGTGGATAATGGCAGCAGGATCTGCCCTCACACAAACTCAGAATTTGCCCACCATCCATAAAGCAAAAGTTCAGTCCAGGCCCCAGGGAACCTATTTTATTTACAAATAATTTGGTTTATCAATTAATTTGTTCAATTCAAGGGGATGATAGGTAGCAGTTACTTTCCTATTTTGAAGTGGAAAGATACCTTAGACATCACCTAGAGCAGAAAACCTTCCTATCAGGGGCTTTAAATTACCACCATATTCTGGACAAGTTATTTTCGTTTACTGTCCTTTGTTCCTAAATTAACAAGGCGGGTGACTAAAATTGCCTACAATATGGAGGTAATTTAGAGAAAATTTAGTAAAATGCATTGTACTTTCTCTATTAGGCCTCAAAAAACCAAATCAAGCTCATTGCTGTCGCATTGGATCCGACTCACAGTGACCACTCCTTGGGTTTCAGAGATGGTATCTATGCAGAAGTAGATTGCCTAGTCTTCCTTCTGAGGAGTGGTTTGAACTGCCAGCCTTCTGGTTAGCAATCAAATGCTGTAGGCACTATGCCACCAGAGCTCCACCCAATTTACCATGCCTCAGCCTAAGTTTCTATCTAAACCAGACAGAAAACCAGACTCACTGCCGTCGAGTCAGTTCTGACTCATAGTGACCCCTAGAGGGTACTAAATTGCTACCTCTTGGAAATCTGGAAGCTCTGGTGCCGTAGTGCCTAAGGTATTTGACTGCTAACCAGAAGGCTGGTGGTTCAAACCCACCAGCCACTCCTCGAAAGGAAGGTTGGGCAGTCTACTTCTGTAATGATACCACCTCCAAAACCTGAGGAGGGGTTTCTCTGAGTCAGACCTGACTTGATGCTAGTGAGTTTGGTTTTTGGTGGAATGGAAATCCATTAACCTATGCTACCTATTTTGACATGAACCTCATTCTACAACAAACATTTATGGAGTCTTACAAGATATTAGGGTTTTGTGTTAAGAAGGTATTGGAGGAGTACAAAGTCCAACAAAATATGATGGTGTCTACTGTAATAAATCATTGCTGATGTCACATGGCTCTTGGCTGAGAGCAGAAAGTACCAGAAATATGTACCTGTGTTTTACTGACTATGCAAATGCATTCAACTGTGTGGATCGTAGCAAATTACGGGTAACATTGTGAAATATGGGAATTCCAGAATACTTAATTATACTCATGAGGAACTTGTACATAGACTAAAAGGCAATTGTTTGAACAGAACAAGGGGATACTGTATGGTTTAAAATCAGGAAAGGTGTGTGTCATGTATGTGTCTTTTCACCATAGTTATTCAATCTGTATGCTGAGCAAATAACCTGAGAAACTGGACTATATGAAATAGAAATTGATGAAATATATGAAACTGGACTATATGAAATAGAAATTGGCGGAAGACTCATTAACAAATTGCGATATGCAGCAACCTTGCTTGCTGAAAGCAAAGAGGACTTGAAGCATTTACTGATGAAGATCAAAGATTACAGCCTTCAGTATGGATTACACCTCAACATAAAGAACACTAAAATTCTCACAACTGGACCAGAAACAACATCATGATAAATGGAAAAAAGATTGAAGTTGTTAAAAATTTTATTTTACTTGGATCCACAATCATTGCCCGTGGAAGCAGCAGCCAGTTGATCAAACAACTTATTGCAGGTGGCACATGTGCTCCAAAAGTCCTCTTTAAAATGTTAAGAAGCAAAGAAGTCACTTTGAAGAGGAAGGTGCACCTGACCTAAGCCACAGCATTTTTGACCACCTCATATGCATGTGAAAGCTGGACAATGAAAAGGAAGACAGAAGAATTGATGCCTTTGAGTTGTGGTGCTGGAGAACAATGTTGAATATCCTGTAGGCTGCTAGAACTAACAGATCTGTCTTGGAGGAAGCACGGTCAGAAGGCTCCTTAGAAATGAGGATGGCCAGACTTCGTCTCATGTACTTTGGACATATTATCAGGAGGGACCAATCCTTGGAGAAGAGTATCATGGTTGGTAAAGTACATGGTCAGTGAAAAAGGGGAAGCTCCTCAAAGAGATGGATTGAAAGGGTAGCTGCAATAATGGGCTCAAACATAGCAACGATGTGAGGATGCAGGACAAGCAGTGTTTCCTTCTGTTGTAAATGGGATCTGTATGATTCAGAACAGTCAACAACACCTAACAATAACAACTGTAATAAAAACTTCACAGTTTAGTGGTGGTGGTGTTGTTATTAGTGGTGCACACTTAAAATTGTTACCAACATTTTTCTTCTTTTTTGGGAGGAGGAGGTATGGTTGGAGGATGGTGGGAGAATAGGTAAATGCACAGAAAGCAAAGTTTATTAATGGTTACCAGGGGCTGGTGGGAGAGAATGGGAAGTTATTACTCAAGGGGTACTGTTTCTGTTTAATGAAATTAAAATATTTCAAAACAGTGGTGATGGCTACACTTGTGATTATACACATCACTGAATTGTACACTTAAAATGGTTAAAATGGCAAATATTTTATTTTATGTATTTTACCATAATTACAAAAAACTGGAGATGGAAGAGGGAAAACTAGAAGAATGAGAAGAATTTTTTTTACATTTATCAGAGAAAATAATTTACTTATGATTTGCATATTTGCGTCTTTTAAAGCTTCTGGAGTCACTGTCAGAAACAGAAAGTTTAAATAAGTAAATAAAAAAAGCTGAAAAATCTTAGGTCTGTACTTTTCTTTTGGCTCCAGGAAGACCTCATCACCAGCTTAGAGGACCTGGCGGAGGGGCCTTGCCTCAGTAACTACTGAATCACCAAGCGCGATGGCCACGCTCCTCTGAGCAAACTACAATCCCCATGTAGCAGTGGGCGGGAAGCGGGGCCTATGCTGAAGTAAAGTTGGGGGGTTCTACACCTGTCTTGAGGAGGTCTGGTGGCGTAGTACCTAAGGCAATTTGACTACTAATCATAAGGCCAGCGGTTCAAACCCACCAGCCATTTCTCGAAAGGAAGACTGAGTAATCCACTTTGGTTGGCATACCACCTCAGAAACCCAAGGAGAGGTCCCTATGAGTCTGAAACGACTAGACAGCAGTGAGTTTTTTAGTAAATGTGTCTTGAGAAAAAAATAACGTATATTTCTCCCCGCCTTCACATTGTCACACATATTTCACCTCCTGCAGTTCGCATTGTCTTTTTTTCATTAACATGCACTGTCAGGCGTGTAGTTAGCCCCCGTCTCCTTTCAGGCACCGCAGCGGGTACGCACGGAGGCACGCTGCGCAAGGGCCTCAGGGCGCGCGGGGGTGGGGCCAGCGGCAGCAGGACGGGGCGGGGCGCGGGCCGGAAGTGCGTGTGAGGGGCGACTAGAGGGGCCTTGGCAGCTGGGGCGCACGTTTCTGGCTAGTACGTCGACACCGGCTCATTGCAAACTGCGTTTAACCTGTCTTTCCTCTTGGGGCTGGGTCTGCTGCCAAAGACCTGCACCTTCGGTTCTCCGTCACGCTCCAAGGCCTTCAGTCTCCGTTCATCTTACTGTAGGCCGGGACGACATGAGCAACAAAGAAGGTGAAGTCCTTCGGAGCATTTAAGCGTTATTTACTGAGAGGGAGATGCTCTTTTTTCTCGGATTTTCAACTTCGCATCTTTGAGGGAGGATGCCCTCTTCTCTAGCATGCTAGGAGTGGTGGTGGTGGTGGTGGTGGTGGTGGTGCTTTCTTCGGCCAAATTGGCATTATTTTACTTCTTTATATTCTGAAATCTTCGAGCTGTAATTTTATCCGAGTGCGGTGATTGCTCCACCTTGTGCCAGTTCAGGGAACCCGTTGGGAGGTCTGGGTGAGGTGAGATTAGGGTTTGGGGGAAAAGGAAGAGCTTATTATTATTATTTTTTCCTGATAAAACCACTAAGTTGAGAATCCAGTAGATGTCTTATTTTAAAGGAAGGAAGGGGTTTGCCTCTATTGTTTTGTCACCTCTTGGTGATGGAAGAGCCCTATCCAACTGTTTTTTATTCCTGCATAAGGATCAGGAGGGTTCAGGAAAAGGAAGCACGACAATTTCCCACATAACCAAAGAAGAGAAGGGAAGGATGTTAATTCATCTTCACCTGTGATGTTGGCCTTCAAATGTAAGTTTTTAAGTAATGTAAGTTGGAAAAGAGAAGAGAACTAAGATGTAAGGAAAACTATTTAACCGTATTGTGCACCAGAAAACAAACTCTAAGAGTTTGAGATGTGCAGAAGTAAACCTTTTAATTTTTCTCAAGGCTTTGATGATGTTAGGTCAGACGTGAAAGTGAATTCCAAATATTTTGATCTTGCTTTTCCTATTACAGTTACACAGATAAACATTACTTAATATTAGACTTGCCATATAGTTAATAATTATTATGTACCTGATAATATTTTCCTATTATATATTACCATATAACTGTGTATGTGTTCGGATACATACATATCCATAGCCAAAAAAAACCCCACACCCACTGCCATTGAGTTGATTCCAACTCATAGCAACCCATTGGGTTTCCAAGGCTATAAATCTTTATGAAAGTAGATTGTCTCATCTCCTCCCCAGCAGCAGCTGGTAGGTTTGAACTGCTGATCTTCTGCTGCTAGATGTGTTACCCATTACACTACCAGAGCTCTTGCCATATAAATATATTTTCTCAAACTTTTTAAAGGTAGGAACTGTATCTTTGTTTTTGTCTGTAGTACTCAGTGTAGTGAGAACTCATATATTACAAATTCACAGCCCTCTTTTTCTCCCATATTGACTTGGTCACGCTCCCTGTTTCAAAACAACCCCCCCCCCCCCAAAAAAAGGTTCCTTTCTCTTGTCCCTCTACAACCACTTAAAATGAAAAAACTCAATTGCTATCAAATGAATTTCAACTTAAGGCAACTTCGTGTGTCAAAATAGTCCTGTACTTCATTAGGGTTTCCAGTGGCTGGTTTTTGTAAATTGATGGCCTTTCTTCTGAGATTCCTCTCGGTGGAGTCCAACTTTCTGTTAGCAACTGTGCATGTTAGCCCTTTGGGTGACCCAGAAACTCCCTTCTGTCCACTGCCCAGTACTTTATAGTGTCTGTGGTTCAAGAATCTGGGAGGCGCTTAGCAGGGTCTCACCTGTAATCATCTGAAGGTTTGATTGTGGCTGGAGGAAACAATTATTGGCAAAGTAGATGTCCCAACAACCAGCTTTTTGTCATCTATGTATGGACTCTTCCATAGGGTTGCTTGAATGTCCTTATGTTGGCATCTGACTTCCCCCAGAGTGAGTGACTACAGAGAGAGAGAAAGTGGGAAACCACATATATTCCCTCTATTTCCTAATCTGGAACATCATGCAGTGTCACTTTTGCCACATTCTATTTGTTAGAGGTGGGTCACTATGTACAGTCAGTTGGATATTTTCAGGGACAAGATTTATAGCCCAACAGAATCTTAGATTGGAACATCTTGGTGAAAGTCACTCTTAGAAATATCATAAATCATGTAACATGATGAGGGAAAAATTTATCTACCAAGTGGTAAACTTAGTTAAGGAATGTTTGTATTTAAAGAAGAGAATATTTCAGTTATTAGTATAGCCTTTGATTTCCAAGTACTGTAGAAATAGATGATTTTGTGCTTTTCATTTTTATTTAGTAATTGCTTTATCATGCATAGCAATAATATTTTTAATTGAAAACTATTTCTGCTGTCTCCCAAAAAAACCAAACTCACGGCTGTCAAGTCGCTGCCCTTCCTTGGGTTTCCGAGGCAGGATCACTATGGAAGTAGATTGCCCAACCTTCCTCCCAAGGAGTGGCTGGTGGGTTAGAACCGCTAGCCTTCTGGTTAGCAGTCAGATGCCTTAGAAACTTGTATTTTAAAAAAGTTAAAATTATTTATCTTTTCTACTTTCCTCTTGTTAGCTTTACCAAGTACCTTTGTAAAAGCTTAATGTAAATGAAAACTTACTCTAATGTGTTACGAGCTTTCAGAAAAGAGAAAAAGTTTCCATGGAAGGTCTTTCATGAGAAACACCAGCCTATAGAGAAAATTTGATGAGATAGTGTGTTTTGTTACACTTGAATTTAAGCCCAGGATTTTTTGAGTGGTGTTTCAGGATTTTTAATATTCTAGCAACTACTTTGTTATTGAAAGTGCAGAGTTAATATTAATAAAAAGAGTCATTAGATGTGTATTTTAGCATTGTTGAGTCATCTGAGTAAATATACTTTTTTCAGATTTTTATTTTGAAATAATAATCATACATAAAAAAATTGGAAAAATAGTACAGAGAACTTCTGTATAGCCTTTACTTAGGTCAGTTTTAAATATACCACCACTTTTGCTTTATCACTCTATAAATTTATATATACACATTTTTTCTTAACCATGTGGGAATAAGTTGTATACATTGTGCCATTTTACCCCTTAATATTTTACGATGTATTTCCTAGGAACAAGGATGCAGAGCACTTAAAATTTAGGAAATTTAACATTGATGTGATACTTTAATCCTCAATGCATATTTTGTCAATTGTCCCAGTGATGTTCTTTGTTGACTTTTTTTCCTCCAGACCAGAATCATATATTGCATTTTGTTGTGTAAAATACAAGGCTGTTATTTTATAGGATATTCCTCAACTTGGATTTGAGTAATATTTCCTAAGGAGCTCTGGTAGTGTCGTACCTAGGGCACTTGACTGCTAACCAGAAGGCTGGCGGTTCAAACCCACCAACCACTCCTCAGAAGGAAGGTTGGGCAATCCTCTTCCGTAGTGATACCTCCTTGGAATCCCAAGGAGGGGTTGCTATGAGTCGGGTCCAACTCCACGGCACATAACAACAACAACAAATACTTCCTCGTTAGGTTCAGACAGGCATCTGAAATTAGAATACTGGAATATTGCATAAACGATGAGGTGTCCTTTTCAGATTATTGCAAAGGACCAGATTATTTATGGTCTCATAACACAAACCTAGTCCACTGCCGTTGAGTTGATTCTGAGTGGTAGCAACCCTGTAGGACAGAATAGAACTGCCCCATAGGGTTTCCAACGCTGTAAGTCTATATAGAAGCAGACTGCCTCATCTTTTTCCTATGGAGTGGCTGTTGTTATTGTTACGTGCCATTGAGTCAGACCCGACTCATAGCGACCCCTCCTTGGGTTTCCAAGGAGCTCTGGTAGCATAGTGGCTAAGACACTTGCCTGCTAACCAGACGGCTGGCGGTTCAAACCCACCAGCC